ATTCACACTGTGGCTCCTGTCGCTGATGCTACTACATTCATGGCAGCCGGCTGCTGCTGCTGCTGCTGCTGCTGCCACTCCACCATAGCATTGGCCACGGCTGCTGGATGCTCCCTTGGCTGCATTGTTAGCGCTGTCCAGCTCTCAGCCACTCCTATGCTTTTCCTATTACCCCTGCTGCAGGGCAGCAGCTCAGCCCACTCTGTGATAGGTTCAAAACTAGGCAAGAAAAATACCACTTGAGAGAAGCTTTTCACTGGGCCCAATGTTACCGCACACTGTTTTGCTGTTGGTTTTTGTTTTTTTTGTGCGTAGAAGGGATAGCCCAGGAAGTTGTGTCTCAGCCAGCTCATAAAGCAATCCAAACGAACCTGCTATATGCCCAATTTGTGGAAATTATGTTTACACACTCATCCTGTTTGTCCCTTTGGACCATTCAGAACTGTCACTGTGAGGTTACTACAGGATGTAGTACTCCCTCTCAGGTCTGAGTAGGAAAGTTGCGGGTTCCTTAGAGTTCACCAAGTTTTGTGACAACAAACCACTTCAGAGCGGACTGTTTAAACCTGTTCACCTTCAGGTCCTGGAGTTGTATGGCCTGCTGGAGTTGCACCACTATAATCTGCCCATCTCACCCTATTTTTACCAAGCTGTGAAGATGGAAATGGGGGGTCACCTGGGTTTTTCCTTAGGGCTCTCTAATGGGGACTTGGGCAATGTGAGTCTGGAGGATGAGTGCCTGAGTGTCAGACCTAGTGGCAAGCAGCTTTGATTGTTACGTAACTTCCTTAAAGGGTCTGTTGACATCTCTTAGTGCCACTTGGGCCATTCTATCCTTGGTCTGTGTTATGGTGTGGCCTCCCTCAAATCGGTCAGTGGGCACATTCTGGAGGTTATATTTGGTCCTGGCCTGTTCCTCTGTACCTACTTTTGTTTCCTGGTGCTTTGAGGTAGGCATTTCTGGTTCTCCATACCTACCATGAAGTGAGTGCCACCTCCCTGTAAGCCTAGAAATAATGAGTCCTGTGACAATAAACTGAAGCCCCCGAAATCATCCAAACTGTGAGCCAAAATAAATCTTTCTTCCTTTCAACTGGGTGTCACAAGTGTCTGTTGTAAGAACAACAAAACTGAACGACAGCCCACGCCGGTTCACAAGAAGTACTTCTTGAATCCCAGCCCTCTGTTGGAGAAGTTTTGCTAAGCTGCTTCCCCAGACTGTCATCTGCCTTCGCACCTTTCCATGGTTGTGTGTTAGTCCACAGACAGGGTTGATTTTATGTTTGAGGTCTTGCTGACATTTAACTTTTGCCTCTGTGTTACCATCATGAACACAGCTGTTCATAGTTCCTCAGTGATTCTGAGCAAACAATGAAAGCAACCAGAGGCCCCTGCCCAATCTTCTCCTGTGTGTCTCCCCACCACCCGGTCTCTCTTAACCATGCTTTTCACCCCCATAAACCTCACTAACACGCTGAATTGGAAATCATAGTTTCCATTTCTAAACTCTCTCTGTGTGGATGAAGACTTAGTCTACCCAGCTCTCAGTATGCTTGTAGTATCCCTTTAGATCAGTATTACATCTCTGTGACTGTGCACACCACTCTCCACTCAGGAACAATGTGCACAGCCTTTCCAGAACTTTCCTTTTGTTTGCTGGGAGCCAGCGATTGCCTTGCCTTTCCTAACTCGTGCTCAGACTTTTCCCAAATGAGGGTAAATTGAAGGTTTTCTTTCTGTTCCTCCCTTTCTCCCTCCCCCTTTCACTCATTTCCATCAGCTGCTCTCCTGCGAGCAGCCAGCATCCTCCTCACTGCTTCCTGCTCTCTCTTTGCAGACTGCCCTGTGTACCGGATCCTTGGTGTGGTGGATTTTCGTCAGTTCTTCTGGAGCTGGATTTACAGAGCTTGTGAGCCACCGGATACGGGTGCTGGGAATTGAGCTGAGGTCATTCGAAAAAGCAACAAATGTTTTTCCAATGCTGAGCCACCTCTCCAGACCCAAGCATGTAATTTTAAACATGTATTTTCTCAACTACTCTTACATGCTTTCTGTAAGATTCTGGTGTAGCTTTTGCTCGGAGATCTCCATTGAGTGACAGGAAGACCATACTGCACACCAGGCCTCTGTTTCTTGGATGTAGCCCTTATTTTTATAAAGCACATCCTAGGATGGGATGCATGTCTGAAAACTACCACTATACCTACAATTCTGACTGATAATTCCTACTATGCATGCCTTTCATCCCAGCGTTATAGGGAGGCAGAGGCAGGCAGATCTTTGTGAGTTCAAGGCTAGCCTGGTCTACATACTGAGTTTTAGGACAGTAGTGCTCTATACTCTGTCTTGGAAAGAAAAAAAGAAAGATTATCATTTTTTATTTTTTTCTTTTAAAAGTAAAAAAATTAAAATATGAAACAGAGTCTTCACTATCTAGTCCTGACTGGTCTGGAGCACATTACATAGACCAGGGTGTCCTGGAACACACAGAGGTCTGCCTGCCTCTGCCTCTGCCTCGAGTGCTGAGATTAAATCTGTGTGCAATTATGCCTTGCACATTATCAAACATTAGATTAAAATAATTTCCCTTCAGAATTTAAAAACTTTGTTCCAGTTTCTTTTTCACATCTTGTCCATTTCTTATGTCTGTGAGATATGATCTAATTTCCTCTTCTAGAAATAGTTAAACTTCTGTATCCCTGATATTTGGAAAGTACAAGATGAAGCACAGGACACCGGCCTTCATTTCTGTACATTTACTGTGTTGTGCGTTTGGTTAGCCATTCGGTTTCATTTTTAAAGGTTTTTTGATTTCTTGAGATAAGGTATGTCTGTCTAGCCCTGGCTGCCCTGGAACTTGATCTGATCTGCAGACAGGCTGCCCTGGAATTCACAGAGGTCTGCCTGCCTTTGCCTCCTGAGGGTTGGGCTTAAAGGTGTGCACTACCATGCCCAACTTGACATTCATTTTATTTAACTCTGAGAAACATTGAATTTTTGATAGTTTTCATCTTGAATTTTTCTACTTTTCTATTTTTAGAAAGCCTTTATTACATGGAAGATATATTCCCCAGTTTTCTAGGTTTAGCCTGTCTGACAGTTTTTTCTTTGTCTTTTTTCTACTTTCTAGAGTTTTAGTATATATTTTTGAAAACATTCCCACCTTCTGAAGTCTTTTAAGTTAATGTGCTTTGGCTGTGCATAAAATGATATTTTCATACCCGTATACCTTTGCACTCTGGTTATATTTACCTTGATCACAGTCTGGCCCTCCCCTCCCCCTCCTGCCATCCCCTCTCCTTCTAAACAGTCTCTATGGGGTGTGTGTGTGTGTGTATGTGTGTGCATTTGTACCTGGACATGTGTGTATGTGTGTGCATTTGTGCCTGCACATGTGTGTGTGTGTGTTGTTTGCTACACACAGCACAGAAGACAGCTTGTGAGAGTCAGTTCTCTATGGCCATGTGGGTTCTGGGAATAAAGCGAAGGTCATCAGACAGTGGCAAGAAGCTCTACCCATTGAGCCATCTCTCTGGCCCGATGTGTTGATCTGTCCTCCTCCCCTCTGACTTGGCTGCAAATGTGTTTTCTGGAGCAGTCTTCAGACTGTCGTCCTGGTGTCTCCTCGTACTCACGCTGATGTCCCTTGTATTTCCAAATCGTCCCTCTTCTAGTTACATATTTGTCTGGGTTTTTTTTTTTTTTTTTTTTTAGGGGAGAGGTTGTTTGTTTACTTAGGGTTTCTCACAGGCACATAGGCAAAAGGTTATTTACCAGACAGCAGGCAACTTATCAGAGGCTACAGCTCTGAGGGCAAGAGGGCTAAGGAGCCACTCTTCTCTTTTTGATGATAAGTTGATGGTCTTATGCAGGTAATCACTGCTGCTGAGAAGTAAAGAGCTCACACAGCTGGGTGTAGTGGTGCTCACTTTTAATACCTCCACAGGGGGGCGGGGGCAGGGGCAGGGAGAGGCAGGGAGAGGCAGGGAGAGGCAGAGAGGCAGAGAGAGAGAGAGGCAGAGAGAGAGAGGCAGAGAAAAAGAGGCAGAGAGAGAGAGAGAGGCAGAGAGAGAGAGAGAGAGAGGCAAAGAGACAGAGGCAGAGAGACAGAGGCAGAGAGAGAGAGAGAGAGAGAGAGAGAGAGAGAGAGGGGCAGAGAGGCAGAGAGGCAGAGAGGCAGAGAGAGGCAGAGGCAGAGGGGCAGGTGGATCTCTGTTCCAGGGAAACCAAGGCTGTACAGTGAAACCTTGTCTCAAAACACCAAAAGAAAGAATAGAGGTAGTAGAAATAGCTTTTATTATGCTGAGAAATATTCTCCCCACTCCTGGTCTCTTCAGGATACCTTCTGAATAATAAAGAGAAGGCGGATCTTTACCACACTGCTTTTCTGCATCCACTAAGATGATCATTGACTTTTTTGTTTACTTTGGATCCATTTACATGAGATTACATTTATTGATATGTGCATATAGAATTATCCCTATATATTTTAAAGAAAGAAGTGAATTTGATCACAGCAAATTATTTTTTGATGTGCTTTTTGAATTTGTTTTGCAAGTATTTTATTGAGAAAAATTTCATCTACATCCATCAGGGAGCTTGGCCTATAATTTTGTTCCCCCCTCCCATTGCTGTGTCTTTATCTGGTTTCATTGTTAGGGTGATACTGACTTCAAAAAAGGAGTGCGTCTTGAGTGGATTTCTCTATTTTAGCAAGGAAGAATAAGAGGAAGGGGAAAGGAGAAGACGACTGAAGGAAAGGAAGGAGAGTAGATAGATAGATAGATAGATAGATAGATGATAGATGGATAGATTCAGATAATTCAGAGACAACTGTGTTTACTGGGTCGATTGGGGGATTTTCAGGTATGTCGAGGTGTGAGGGAAGTTAGTCTTAGGGAGTAGGACTTGATCCATAGTGGTACCACAAATCCAAAGTCCTGGGAAAAATCTTGAATCATGCATTCATTCACTAAATATTGAGACTATAAATAAAGTGCCTTCCCTGGCAGTGGGCCAAGAGACACCTTGTTGGTGATGTTCTTTCAGTCAGGGGCAGAGCAGTTGGCAGTCCTCTGTTCATCCTAACCTGATGCCTGGTTTGGTGGCCAAAGCTGTCTTATGCCTAGGACTAATCAAATCTAATCAAATCCGGACAGTGCAGTGAGGTTGGAAGAAGACAGAGACTACCATGCCACCCACAGACCTGCTGTCAGTGAAGGGCACAGGAGGGTCATAGACACCCACTTGCAGCCACAACATGCCATGCAGTGCCCCATGCAGTGCCCCATGCAGTGCTCCATGCAGTGCTCCATGCAGTGCCCCATGCAGTGCCCCATGCAGTGCTCCATGCAGTGCTCCATGCAGTGCCCCATGCAGTGCCCCATGCAGTGCCAGTGGAGGATGTCACTCAGGAGCCCTCCAGCTTCATGACCAGCCTGTAGAGGGAGCCAGCACAGTGAGAAAGCGGAGCAGCTTGAACATTACGAAGAGAGATGGAACTGGAGACTCGAGGGTGGAGAGGAGTAGCGCATTGTGAGTGGCCAACCCCGTCACCTGAGGTCATGGTGTGGTCCCAGGCCGCGCAGCCTCTGAAGGCCATGTCTGGGCCTGTCGATACCATGTAGATGTCCGTGGCTCATATCACTAGAGACATGGGGAAATTCCTGGTCAGGGTAGCTGCAGTGAAAGGCGCAGATATCCAGGAACTATGCAGAACTGGTCCCATCCCTCAATGGATGCAGTGCTTTGAAGGGGGGGTCCCATCTCTCATTGGCAGTAGTGCTTGGGAAAGTGGGCCCGGCTCCTTGCCCAGGCAGCACAGTGGAGCTGGCCCTGGTGCCCAGGGTGTGATTGAGCTAGCCCGAGGGCATGAGTGTGGAAGAGCTGACTCTGCCACTCCTCTGCCATAGAATAGCACAGGCACAGAGGTGACACCCCTGCCTCTTGCCACCTTGGCAGTCAGGAAAGCGGCCCACAGGATCATGAGCTCGGGAGAGCTAACCCCACCCCTCAGCAGCTGCAGCACTTGGGAGAGCAGGCCTAGTTCCTCACTTCAGTAGCACAGTAGTACTGGCCCTGGTTGAGGGAGGTCACGGGTGTGGGTCTGCCATTCCTCTGCCATGAAGTGGTGTGGGTTTGGGGGTGATGCCTTCCCTCTCCCACCTTGCCACTTACAGTAGCCTGGAGAGCCTATCCCAGGGTCATAAGAGTGGGAGAGCTAGCCCTGCTCCATCACTGGCTGTAGCATTCTGGAGAACTGGGGGTGAGAGTCAGAGAGCTGGCCTAGCCCCTCATAGGCTGCAGCACTTGGGAGAGTGGCCCCGCATCTTGACTAGGCAACACAGTAGAGCTAGCTCTGAAGGTGTGGATGTGGGTGAACCAGCCCTAAGGGCAGGAGAGCAGGAGAGCTGACCCTGCCTCTTGCCAACGGCAGTATTGGATGGCCTAGCTGGAGCAGTGCTGGAGAGCTCACTCTGGTGGTGTAGATACAGAAGAATCAGTGTGCTTACCACCTCAGCTACCACTCAGGCCCAGATCCAGGGGTCTGGGTTAGCCCACCCCCAAAATCTGTATCGTCTGGGAATGGTTGGGGCATGTGAAAGGACCAGTCTTGTGGATCCAAAGCTGTAGGCTCTCCATGACACAAGGCAACAACAACAGAATAAACCAGAGAAGTCCCAGTGAGGATCCGATATTGATGGTGTCACAGAAGCCAGAGATCTCCAACCAGACCAGTGACTCATTGCAATGAGCAAGGGAAGATGGAGGGGGAGGGTCTAGTGTGACACTCTGTGATACTGCAGCATTCACAATGAGATGCTTTGTAGGCTTTGTTCTTGTTTTGTGTGTTCATTTTGGGGAGAGGTTGCAAGGGTGAAGGGTGGGTAAGAGGGAACAGGGAGCTGAGCAGGACTGGGGTGCATGATGTGAAACTCAAGAAAAATAAAACTTTTTTTTAAAGTCAACTTAGAATAATTTTCAGGTGCTCTAATAAACATTTGTGCACATAGGTATTTTTACAAACGACCAGTATTCACAGAAGGGTGCTCAAAATCCTCAGTTCCTAAGCAAATGCAAATCAAAACCCACAAGGAAGCTCCGTTCCAGGCCAATAGGAGGGCAATAATTTGAAAGAATGATATCTGTGGCTTTCTGTAATGGCCTCTGTCTGCTGCAAGCAGAGACATCTTTGATGAGGAGTGAGAGCGGTATTTATGTGTGGCTGTAAGGGGAAGTTATAGAATACAGTTAGCAATTAGTCTGGTTGGTAAAGTGTGGTGGGTTTCCCTCTAAGAGCCAAGCATTAATAGTTATTTTTAATAATGTTTAACAGTCATCTTGACAATGATTATGACCTGGCCTAGCAGAACTGATCTAACCTGCCCAACCCAACTCTTTCACATGGCTGATGGTAAACTGCTAACCGTTCATTGTGACTTCAGTCCTAAGAGCCCAACTGCATGCAAAAGCGTGTGATAGATTCTTACACTGGAATATTATGCAGTAACAAGGCTTGATGCGTACGATGGTGCAAATGAGCACAGTATACTGAGAGTGGCCACACACATAGTGATGTATGGCCGTGACTGTTTACATGAAATAGAATAGATAAATCCTATAGGGCAGGATAACTTTTGAAGAGCACCAGAGACTGGAGGAGCAGTTAGGGAAGGTGGACACTAAAAAATCTAGAGTATTACATAGTGTCATAAAAATAGGTTAGAACTTGATATAGGTGGTGGCAGCTTAATGTGATGGTATTGCCCTTAATAGCTACTCTGAAATGAGTGGTCTTCATTTTCCACCTATGAGCGTGCATACACACACACACACACACAGACATACACACAGACATACACACACACACATGCACAGACACACACACACACATGCACAGACATACACACACAGACGAACACAGACACACACACACATGCACAGACATATACATACAGACACACACACACACACACACACAAACACATGCACAGACACACACACATGCACAGACATACACACACAGATGAACACAGACACACACACACATGCACAGACATACACACACACACACACACACATGCACAGACACACACACATGCACAGACATACACACACAGATGAACACAGACACACACACACACATGCACAGACATACACACACACGCACACACACACACAAACACACACACAAACACATGCACAGACACACACAAACACATGCACAGACATACACACACAGACGAACACAGACACACACACACACACATGAGCCCTGTCCTCTTGCAGATGGCTGTTTAATGGGAGGTCTATAGACAATGGGATTATACCACCTCAGGTTCCGATGAGGACTTTGCATCCAGGATATCACAGTTATCAGCTAGAGCCAAAAGACGGCAGTCAGAAAGAGCAACATGAACTGGACAGACAGGGAAGGCCCCTGAGGGTGTGCTTGTGCAGAAACAAAGCTGAATGAGGAGGGTTCTCAGGAGAGAAAGCCCTGGGGGAGCAGAAGACAAGCTCCAAATTTTGAATGGGAACACGGCACACTCTGCTCGAGATGCTTAAAGGCTGGCAGAGTGTTCAAGAGGACACTGGGAGAGTCTGAAGGATGTGGCTGGACTGTGTAGGGTTGCAGACCATGGTGAGAGACGAGTGTCAAACTTGTTCTATGCAGGTGGAGAGACCTTAAGAGGATGAAGAGGAAAGAATAGCATATTGAACAGCTAAGGGGAGTGGGCATCTGGTGGTGTTTCTGATGACTCTTATCCCCAACTCTCCAACCATGCAGGCCCTGTGTGCTCCAGGGCTCTCACATGCTCTGCCCTGAGAGTTCAAACACATGCTGCTGCTATCACCAGAGCAAGTTTGTGTGGTGCTGTGTGTCTATAGTCACTACAGAGACTTGCTGCTGGACAAAGACCCAGTTTCATGTGTTAGAAGACCTGATCAGTTCTTTATTGGCAAGGATATGCAGTCTGATATACGACAAACCTGTGATCCCAGAAAGATATCAAGCTGTAGACGTAGTTTGTGTCCTTCAAGTTCATAGGTGCCCTGGAAAAAGCCACGGGTACGGCAGTTATACCAGCGCCATGACACCTGGATGACACGGGTGGCGTAGCACAACCTGCAATAATACTGGCGGATTTTCAGCATCCGGACCCACGATTGAATAAGGACACAGGCCCTTGTTTCTTGTGCCATCCAGTGCAGGATCATCAGTCGATTCTTTTCCTGTCTTTTGGCCAGTATCTTCCTCCACCAGCATTGGATGATCCATGCACTGAGGGCGGCCCTCAGCAGTGTGCGTCTCACCAGGGTGCCTCGCCACCAGGCCTGTATCTTTCTGGCATTCAGTGCTCTTTTTGATAGGTGCCGTGGGAATGGCTGTAGTGGGGTGTAAGGTGAGGAATGGCTTTAGTTTTCAGGGGTGCAGCCACGGGTAAGTTACCTTTGATTGTGTGAACAAATCCCTCTTCATGCAGTGATGCGCACACACACCACATACACACACAGAGAAAGAGAGAGAGAGAGAATAAGAGGGAAAATGTGAGCAGAGCATATTATATATATTTGCATGAAAAGAGAATGAAGACATATTCTCAGAAGATGCCCTGATCCTATGTCACTAACCACAGCTTCCTCTCAAGTTCATGAACATTGAGCAGGGCAGCAGGATAAGCCATGGAAGCAGGAAGACAGGCTGTCTCTGCTCTCCTTTCTGTCCCATATCAGTGAACAAACATCACCTCAACCTCTGAGTCCCTATGTCTCCATTTATAGAATGCAGTACATTCATTCTTGTAAGAGTTTTTTTTTTTTAAATTATCTGTGCCTGCATGTACATTTGCACCATATGTGTGTCTAGTATCCTCAGAAGCCAGAAAAAGGGCATCAAGACCTCTGGAAATAGAGTTACAGATAGTTGTGAACTGCCATGGAGCTGTTGGAAACTGAACCCAGGTCCTCCAGAAGGGCAGCCAGTGCTCTTAACCACTAAGCCACCTCTCTAGCCCCTCTCTTAGGTGTCTATAAGCCTGGCTGGTCAATTTAGAGACAGAACCCGGTAGTTGATAGGATATTTTTGGGCAGAGGACCACATACTGAGGTAGGAAGCCTAGCAGGAACTTCCAGGAAATCAGCATTCTTTACTCTGTCTTCTGCTCTACCTCAGTCTGCCACCTGCTACACAATGCCCCCTGACCCCTGATAGGTCCTAATCTGAAATTTCTTTCCTCATACAACTTAGGGTCCTGATCTCATCTCTTCCTCACTTCCCAAACTTTAAATTACACAATCAAACACGCATACATGCGTGTATGCACATAGCCACACCCTTACACAATCCTGGATGTAAGAGTTCTGCTTAGACATGTTCCCCAGACACAGATCTCACACTCTACTCCTGGGTACGCATGACACTGCTCTCACTGTCTGGAGCAGCTTCTCCCCACGCCAGTCATGTCTCAGGCTGAGAAGGTAGCTGTTAAGAAGGCCATTCAAGAAAAGTGACCCCCATCACCCCAGCTTTTGAGAGGGAGGCTGTTCTGTTAGTTTTTGATCATTGTACTGAGAGACAGCAACCCAACCTCTTGTTCCCACGAGTGTTTGGAGCACGCATTCCATGACTGTTCTATGTTGTGGGACATGGAGAAGATCACAAAGTCTGGGTGACATAGGTCAGAGACATGGCAGATCAGGGGTTACCTCTAACCTCGAGGGCCTTGTACGACCCACCTTTGAGGAGATTGAAGGTTTGAGCTTTTTTTTTTTCTTTTCCTCTTGCTGTTGTTTCCCTGTTTCTTTTATGTCATAGATTTCATCATTTTTGTAAAAGCGAACATTCCCCTTCTATAACCAGAATTAAAGGAGAAATCTGTGAGTGGGTTATTCTTTGAACAATTACATACCCATTTTAGTACATGCCCAGTCTTCTCAGCTCCCCAGTGTCCCTAGACACCAGACTTATCTCTGTCAACTGGAAATCCACCTTCTATAGCCTACATCTTACACTATACAGACAGCCCATGTTTGGAGACAGATGGTTCAAATCTCCCAGGTCTGCAATCCCTTAAACTCCCCCATGGCTGGGGTTATGATGGAGTCATCATCTCAGGTCTATACTCCTCCAGCCACAGACTGGCAAGAAGAGTGTGGGAAGGGAGTCGGTGATGATGTCATAAGGCCATCTGTGATGCAGGAATCAGCACGGCTTCTAAGAGTTGAGTAGGGGCCCATTCATGCCTCCAGAAATTTCTGAAGTTGGGCTATAAGATCAAAGTACAAGCAACACTGACTCATTTGAATAAAGATAGAAAATGTATTTTGATTTGGTGGAAATGATTAAAATTAACAGTCTGGCATATCAGCAGGGATCTCAACCCATGGATCTTGGTTCAGTCACACAGCAGGTCTAGTAATAATCTTTTTGGCAAAATATATGGCAGATGCTTTGCAGGAGGAGATTCATGAATGGCTCCTGAAACTATGTCTGTCCTAGAGAAATGAGGAAAGAAACATGGATGGCCTTGAATGGGGTGGAGACAGGAAGTAATATCAGCTCTTCCATCCTTTGGGCAGAAGTGTGACCCTAACTACCATGCAAGATGTTTGGCAGTTTTCAATAATGCCAAATATGTATTCACCCTATAACTCAAAGTCCCACTCCTGGGTGCAGATGAAAAATGAAAATGTATCTTCACAGCATGTATGCACAGGCTGTTTGTAGTGTAGATCATACAATGCCTGCCTAGCAGGGAGGAAGCCCCGGGTCAATACCCACCATTGTATCTACTGGATGTGGCTGTACATACATACCTGTGATGTCAGCACTCAGGAGGTAGAGACAGGATAAGAAGTTCAAGGCTATTCAGTCTCAGCAACATATACCAAATTTGAGGCTATCTTGGGTATAGCAGACACCATCTTAAAATTACACACACACACACACACACACACACACACACACACACACACACACA